TGGGAGGGAGCTGCGTTCAGAGGCGCCCGGCCGGCAGGCGGCAGGTACTGTTTCCCTTCCTGCTACCTTTGTTCTACCCCGCGCTCTGCGAGCCGATCCGCTACTCGATTCCCGAGGAACTGGCCAAGGGCTCGGTGGTGGGGAACCTCGCCAAGGATCTCGGGCTCAGTGTCCTGGACGTGTCAGCTAGGAAGCTGCGAGTCAGCACGGAGAAGCTGCTTTTCAACGTAGACGCAGAGAGCGGGGACTTACTAGTGAAGGACCGAATAGACCGGGAGCAGATATGCAAAGAGAGAAGAAGATGTGAGTTGCAGTTGGAAGCCGTGGTGGAAAATCCTTTAAATATCTTTCATATCATTGTGGTTGTTGAGGATATTAATGACCATGCCCCTCAGTTCCATAAAGATGAAATAAACTTAGAAATCAGTGAATCTGTCACTCCAGGGATGGGAACAATTCTTGAGTCTGCAAAAGATCCTGATATTAGTACGAATTCACTGAGCAAATACCAGTTAAGCCCTAATGAGTACTTCTCCTTGGTGGTGAAAGACAATCCCGATGGTGGCAAATATCCAGAATTAGTACTGAAGAAGACCCTGGACCGGGAAACACAAAGCTCTCATCATCTGGTGCTGACAGCATTTGACAATGGAAATCCACCACGAAGCAGCACAGCTCAGATCCGAATCCTGGTGGTGGATGCCAATGATAACCCCCCGGTGTTCAGCCAAGATACGTATAGGGTCAGTCTTCGTGAAGGTGTACCCCCAGGCACCTCAGTGGTGCAGGTGAGTGCCACTGACCAAGACGAAGGCTCCAACGCGGAGATCACCTACTCATTCCTTGGTATGGCTAATAAAGCCCAGCATGTGTTCTCTCTGGATTCTGCCACAGGAAACATTATAACTCAGCAACCCTTGGATTTCGAAGAAGTAGAAAGATATACCATGGATGTAGAAGCGAAGGACCGAGGATCCCTCTCTACCCAGTGTAAAGTAATCATAGAAGTTCTAGATGAAAACGACAACATCCCTGAAATAATCATTACTTCTCTCTCTGATCAAATTTTGGAGGATTCCCATCCAGGAATGGTTGTTGTTCTCTTCAAAACACAGGACCAGGATTCTGGGGAAAACGGAGAAGTCATTTGTAACTTAAGTAGAGATATTCCATTTAAGATTCATTCTTCATCTAATAATTACTACAAGCTGGTAACAGATGGACCCCTAGACCGAGAACAGACTCCGGAATACAACGTCACCATCACAGCCACTGACAGGGGCATTCCGCCCCTCTCCTCCAGCACTACCATCACCTTGCACATCACCGATGTCAATGACAACACACCGATTTTCCACCAGGCCTCCTATGTGGTCCACGTGGCTGAGAATAACCCTCCAGGAGCCTCCATCGCCCAAGTCAGCGCCTCCGACCCCGACCTGGGGCCCAACGGCCGCGTGTCCTACTCCATCGTGGCCAGCGACCTGGAGCCACGGGCGC